CGCCATGGCCGCGGTCACAGCTGCCGTCACCGCCGCCGACACAATCCGCCCCACGAGGGATTCGACGCCAGCAGGCCAGCTCCGGTTGGCCGTCGCCGCCTTCCCCCGCCTCCAGGGCGCAGATTTGGCGCTCGAGCCGCCCCGCCATGCCATGTACCTGGCTCCGTGCAGCAGGGCCCTTGCGAGTTGCGCCGCACGATGGCTGCCTTGAGCCAAATGGCTAGGAGGAAGAGGAGGAGGAGAAGGAGGAGGAGGAGGAGGAGGAGGAGGAGGAGGGGAAGGAAAAGGAGGGGGAGGAGGAGAACGAGAAAGAGGAGGAAGGGGAGGAGGAGGAGGCGGAGGAGGAGGAGGAGGTTCGGTTTGGACAGCCCCGATGGGAAGAGACTCGCAAGACTACGACGAAAGAGGTCGGTGGCACCCCTCAGAGAGGGATATGTTACCGAGGAGGAGGAGGAGGAGGAGGAGGAGGAAGAGGAGGAGGAGGAAGAAAAAAAGAGGAGGAGGAGGAGGAGGAGGAGGAGGAGGACTACATCGACGACGACGACGACGACCAAAACCAGCAGCAGGCTCATGGGCTCTCGCTGGCGCAAGCAGGAGAAGGGCAATGCACTGCGAGAGCGGGGGTGATGGTCGGTATGATGCTCACGAGGAGCAGCAGCAGCAGCAGCTGGAGGAAGAATGGGGATGGCGAGTAGGGGGAAGGGACACAGGATGATCCAGACGATGATTGACGACTTTCCTCCCTTCAACATCTGCTCAAACAGCGCCAATGCCCGCGAACTGCCCCTCACAAAAACTTTGCAAGGAACACGGTGCTGGGCCAACCGCAACGACCAGGGCGAACCCCTTGGCCGCCGCGGCCAGACGCAGCGAGGCCGACTGCGACTACCTACGGCTACTGAAGATATACATATCCATCGACCCCCGCTTGCCGGGGGTGCGAAGGCGCGTGAGATGGTTGGCTGCCCCCCTCCCCAGTTCCCCTCCCCATTGGTCCAAACTCAGGCTTAAGGAGGGGTAGTGGGCGGAGGGGGGGCAGAGCTCGCCAACGCACCCCTGGGGCCTCCCGAGCCTCCAAGTCTAGCCTCCATCGCCTCCAAGATGACCAGGATGCTTCCGAATACGGCGAAAGAACGGCACCAGGCCTCAAGTCACTCAAGATGGCCTCAAGACTGCCCAAAACGACGAACGAGGGCACCAAGAGAATCCCCAAGAGGACCTAAAGAGGCACGAATCATAGATTCGGTAAGGTGTTCGATATGTTGTTGCGTTCTCGCCTTTTCGGGCGTCTCCCAAACAACAACGGCGCCAAGAGGCCACCCCGACCGAATCAAGACAGCCCAAGAGGCCCCCAGTAGGGCCTGGAGACGGCCCAAGGGGGCTCCAGGACAGCACAAGAGGCCCCAAGACGGCAAGAAAAACCTCAAAGGCCCCAAGAGAGGCCCAAGAGAGGCCCAAGAGGGAGAACCCGCAATAATACAGGAGCCCTCCAGAAAAAAATGGCCCCCAGGCGGCCCCCAAGAAGCCCCCCGAGAGCCCTTGCAAAAGCCCCCTGGGAGCCATACAAAAACTGCCAGAGGCTCGCCACGAGGCCGCCAAGAGGCCCCGCAACGGAAACAGACGAGAAGGAAGACGAAGCAGTGACAACGACACGCAGCCAGCAAGACGAGAAGTGGCAAACAACACGCACTTTGCTTCGTCGGAGGGCGGAACAAGACAGACAGGGCGGCCGAGAAGAACGGGAGGGGGCGGAAAGCACCCGGGCAAACCGCACATATACATACATACATACATACATACATACATACATACATACATACATACATGCATGCATGCATACATACATACATACATACATACATACATATACACACATACATACAAACATACAAACATACATACATACATGCATATATGCATACATGCATACATGCATGCATGCATACATACATACATGCATACATGCATACATGTATACATACATGTATGAAGACATGTATGCCTGCATACATACGTGTGCACACGCATACATACATACATACATACATACATACATACATGCATACATACATACATACATACATGAATACATACATACCTACATACATACACACACATACATACAGACATACATACATACATATATACATACATACATACATACATACATGCATGCATGCATGCATGCATGCATACATGCCTATATGCATACATACATACATACATACATGCATACATATATATATATGTATATATATGCATACACGCATGCATGCATACATACATACATACACGCATCCATACATCCATACATCCATACATTGATACATCCATACATCAATCCATCCATCCATCCATACATCCATCCATCCATCAATACATACATACATAACATATCATATCATGCCATAACTTTCATGCATTCATGCATGCATGCATACATGCATGCACACATACATGCATATATACACCCACACACACGTGTACATACATAATATATGCATACATGCATGCATGCATGCATGCATGCATACATGCATACATGCATGCATGCATACATGCATACATACATACATATATACATACCATGTACGCATGCATGCATGCATGTATGCATGCATGCACACATACATACATACATACATACATACAGCCATACATACATACATACAGACAGACAGACAGCCAGACATACATAAATGCATGCATGCATGCACGAACGCACGCATGCTTACGTACATACAAACATACATGCAAACAAACATATATGCATATCTCAACCCGTACATCCATACATACATGTACACACCCATATACATCTACCTCAAAATATACATGTACATATACAGTTACATAAACACATGGAAACATATATAATATATATATATACATACACACATATACCTATACACATGTATATGCATACGCATGTACACATACATGTACATCTACATGAGAGAGCGTGATCCTCCGTCGCCTTCATGTGGAAAATTACCCCCCTCTTCCTCCGGAACCCGTACCCCCCCACCCCCTTCGAAATTCCCCCCCCCCCCCTGCTGGACCCCCACCCACCCACCCCACCCTCCTTGCCCCCGGCAAAGCCCCCCCCACCTAACCTCTTTCCCCCCCCATCTCCGGAAAACCGCGGGGGTCACTACCGGATCGAACCCCCCCCCTTCAGAAACCGGCGGGGGTCACTACCGGGTCGAACCGCCCCCCCAAAAAAAAAACGGGAGGGGTCACTTCCCGGCTCGAACCCCCCCCCCCCACTCACCGCCGGCAAACGACTCCCAGGTCCCCACCACCGTCTGCACCACATCCCCCACTGCTGTCCCGAGCACCACTGTCCCCACCACCACTGTCCCCACTGTTCCCACCACCGTCCCCACTGTCCCCATCAGTGCCCCCACCACTGTCGCACTGTCCCACTGTGTCCCCACCACTGTTCCCACCACGGTCCCACTCTCCCAACTTTCCCCACGGTCCCCACCACTGCCCCACTGTCCCCACTGTCCCCACTGTGCCACTGTACCACTGTCCCGCCGCTGTCCCACTGAGCTGTCCCACTGTTCCCACCACTGTCCCAACTGTCCCCACCAGTCCCCTATGTACCTCTGTCCCATTGTCCCACCACCGTCCGCGCCACCGCCCTCACCAATGTCCCGACCACCACTGTCCCCACCACTGTCCCACTGTCTCCACCACATTCCACATTCCCAGTCCCCACACCACTGTCCCCACCACCACCCTCCCCACCTCTGTCCCAGTCCCCGCCACTGTCCCACTGTCCCCACTGTTCCCACCATTGTTCCCGCTGTCCCCACCAGTGCCCCCACCACTGTCTCACTGTCCCTACTCCCCCCAACATTGTCCCACCACGGTGCTCTTCCCACTTTCCCCACGGCCCCCTCACCACTGTTCCCATCACCACCGTCCCCACCACTGTCCGCATCACTGTCCGACAGTCCCACTGTCCCCACACAACTGTCTCCACCACCACCGTCCCCACCACTGCCCCAATATCCCCACCACTGTCCATCTGTCCCGAGGAGCGGGAATCGTTTGCAGGCGGCGGGGGGGGGTTCGAACCGGTAGTGACCCCCCCCCGGTTTTCTAGGGGGAGGGGGACCGGTAGTGACCTCCCCCCCTTTTCATGATGGACTGGGGGGGGAAGGGGGGGTGTAGAACCGGCAGTGACCCCCCCGATTTTCGAGAGGGGGGGGGGGACGGGTTGGGAACCCCCAAGTGGCCCCCCCCTGGTTTTCCGCCAGCAGGGGCAGAACACGCTCTTTCAAATATAGATATACATATACATATATATAAATATACATACATACATACATACATACATACATACATACATACATACATACATACATACATACATACATACATACATACATACATACATACATACGTACGTGCATGCATACATGCATGAATACACACACACATACACACATACGAGATCAGAAGCCACACGTGTCCTCTTCTGGGGGTCGGAGGAATGGCGCAAGCCTCTCGAGTCTGAAGCCTGCGAGGCCAGGCTCGGGGAGAAAGAGAAAGAGAGAGAGAACAAAAAAAAGAAACAACAAAAAGAGAGAAAGAGAGAGAGAGAGAGAACGGGTCCAGCAACGAGGACACGGGGTACTCAAGGAGGGCTGGATATATTTGTCTTGTTCTTTCAACCTTCCCCAGTTGAAGGGCTCAGGTCCTCATCGACTCAAGGAGGGCTGGGTACTTGAGGAGGGCGGGGTACCCCAGAAGGGCCGGGTGCTCGAAGGAGGGCTGGGTGCTCGAGGAGGGCGGAGGTTCTCACGAAAAGAGGGGCGATGGTGAAGGAGGGAGGAGATATAGAAGGTTAGCATCTGTGGACTAGCGTGTCGCGGCGGCGGCCCCGGCGACACGCTTTGTGCCCTGCAAGCGGTTCGGCGTGCCGCTCCGCTCCGCGGGACGTGAAGCCGGGAAAAGTTTGAGGATTTGACGCTCGGGGACTGGGCTGCAGATGGCGCGTCGCGCCGAGGGGTGGTGGGCCGGAACCGGCGGCGCGACCTCCCCTGAGCCGAAATGCCTGACCGCGAAGCAGACATGTGCTGTTCGGACATTTGCGGGTAGGCACCTTGCGAGTGGTGCAACGCGCTCGGTGAGACCCGCCGAGCCGAAGCGCCTGACCGCCGTTGCAGGGGAGGGAGGGGTGACGGCGCAGCCGATGGGCGATGCGCCAGGGCCCCAGGGCCAACACACGCACAACAACCTCCGGACTCGGATCATCCTAGGGCTCCCAACTTCGCGCTTCGCGCTCCGCGAAGCGCGAATAACTTCGCGCTCTCGCGCCGCCCCCCAAAAGGGAGAAAAGGAGAACGAGGAGGAGGGGGAGAAGGAACGAGGACCGCCAAGCGCGAAGCGCGAATAACTTCGCGCCCTCGTGGGAGCCCTTGGATCATCGCAGCCGAGCGCGGACCAGCGAGGCGCGCGGGCGGAAGGCCACAACAAACAGCCCGTCGCGCCTCAGAAGCTCGGGATCTTGAGGGTCACGGCCTGCCCGGGGTTCGACGTGTGCTCGGGGAGCCCCCGCGTCTCCAGGCGCTGCGGGTCCACGCCGAACCTCGCGATGGTCGCCTTGACCAGCTCGGCGCGCCCCATGGCGACCTCCGTCGACCACCTGTCCATCCTCTCCAGGGGCACCTCTAAGGAAATGAGCTATGACATAAAAATAAAAACTCGGAGGTCCTCGCGGATTTATCGGATCGGCGCTGACCCCCTAGCGGCGCCTCTAGCGCCGCCCCTGGCGCGCTCCGCGCGCTCCAGCGCCGATCCGAGAAATCCGCGAGGACCTCCGAGTTGTTATGTTTATGTCATTGCTCGCTTCCCTAACCTCGGCGTGCCCCTCGATGAGGACCGTGGCCGTCCTGTAGACCTTGAGAACCTCTGGGGAAAGACAAAGGATGCCGATGCCGCGACTCCCCGGTCTCTCGGGGAGACTCCAACCGTGGCGACGAGAGCTCTTTGGGATCAGCAGCGGCATCAATATCGGTATCTTGCCCGAGATCGGCGGCGAGCGAGGGGGGGAAGTGAGAAGAAGCAGGCCTTCTCAGAAGTCTCAGAAGTCCCCCGGCCTTCTGAAAGTCTTCTAGGCCTTCCCCGAAGACCAACAAAAAGGGCCGCGAGGGCTTCAGAGAGGGCGCGAGGGCTTCAGAGAAGTCCCGCCGCCTTCTGAGCAGGCCTTCTCCTTCTCATCTCCCCCCCTCGCTCGCCGCCGACGAAATCCGACGTCGGGAAAAAAACGCAACGCCGCGACGAACCTCGACCCGAACCCCCGACCCGATCCTTCTGCTGCATTGTTTGTATGTGTGAGCCGGATCGACCTGTGAGGGCCCCGGGGCCCGAAGCCAGGCGAGAACTCCTGGTGTGAGACTACGATTGTTACCAGCCTGGAACATATCCCTATCCCTATGATGGGCACCTCCTCATCACGATGCCAATCTCAGGGATTCCATTATTTTTTGAGGGCGAATCCCTAAGATTGTCATCGCCTTTTGGCGTGTCAATCTTAGGGATAGGGATACGTTCGAGGCTGGTAAGATTACATAGGTCGGGCATGTCCCCCGACAGGCAGCTTTTGGAAAATAGTCAAAAAATCCGCCGACCCTGTCGGCGTGTGCGAGTGGTTTGTCTGCTCGAGTCGTCGTCTCCGTCAGTCGTCGTCTGCGTCGTCCCCCTTATCCCTGCACCCTCCTCAAGCCTGTCAGCAAGAGACAAGCCTCGCAATGTCGTAATCGAATCGACGGGAAACTCCTTCCCTTTGCTTACTCCCCCGTCGGGGGGGGGAGTCCAGGTGGGGTCCCCGGGGGGGTCAGATACGCGTACCTCTCTGGGGGGTCCTGGGGGGGAGGGAGGGTTCAGATACGCATCCCCCCCTGGGGGTCCCTGGGCTGCAACAAGTACCAAAACAAGCCAAGAGTGCCCCGAGAGGCCCCCGAGACGGTCCAAGAGGGCCCCGAATCGCCAAACAATCTGTCCAAAACGCCGTCGCGCTCCCAGACTGCCCAGGGGACCTCCAAGACGCCCCAAGAGGCCTCCAAGGGCACTCCCAAGAGGGACCCCAAGAGGCAGAAATTATTGATTCTCCTTAGGTGTTTGAATTTGGGCGCTCTCGCCTTTTCCGCTTCCCGCCGCTCCAAGGCGGCCGAAGAGGCCCTCAAGATCGCACCAACACGGCCCAAGAGGCTTCCAAGAGCGCTCCAGTTCATCTCAATTGAATTCCAAGATAGCCCAAAACGCCTCCAAGGCGGCCCGAAGGCCCCCAAGACGGCTCCAAGAGCGTGCCGTGACGGGGAACCTGGACGGGCATTTCGGGCCCTCGGCCCCGAGGCTCCCAGGAGGCCCCACGAGGTCCCCAAGAGGCCCCGAGAAGCCCACAAGAGGCCCCCGGGACACCCGAAAAGGCCCTCACGAGGCCCCCACGAGGCCCCCAAGAGACCCCAAAAGTCCTCCGCAGAGGCCCCCGAGAGCCTTCCCAAGAGCCCCAACAAGCATCCCTGAGGACTCGGGCCCACGTCAGCGTCGTCGTTGTCGCCGCCGCCACCGTCGCCGTCGTCGTCGACGTCCCCCTTCAGGGTCGGCGCACCGGCCGCAAGGCCTTCGCAATATTCCAAAGTAGTCCAAAGAGCACGAAACATCATTCCCAGACTATAATATTCTAGAATACTCCTCCTGTAGAAGGACATGCCCGAATTAAGACTACGACGCCCCGACCTCAAGATAATTTCTCTTCCTCTGCACCTCCGCCACATCCTGCAAGATCTCCACCGCGAGGCCCTCCTGGAGACCGTTGTTTGCTCTTCGGCGAGAGCCCGGGATATCTGCTGGTGGGGGGAAGGTAACGACCGATCACCAAATTAATACTTCCCTTTCAGGCAGCACCAAGTTTGCCCGCGCGCACCAATACTGCGTGCCCCTCCTTGCGTAACCGACAAGGTCAGGTGACCCGCGGGGGGGAGACGGGTTCGATCACCCCTGCTATCGCCGGACCTTCACCAACCGTCGATTCTCCTGAATCGATGGGACGCGGGAATAGGGGTCGGATTTCGCCACGTGTTCCAAGACTTCCGAAACCTACCCCCCGCCGCCAATCGAGCTGCCTGAATCGTTGATCGGCGAGGGTTGGGTTCGCCGATGAAAAAAACACAAAATGATCCCAGTGCGACCCTACCTAGGAGTTGGAGCCCCTAGGAAAGCAGCATTAGTAGTAACAGTAAAGCTAAGCTAAAGCTAAGCTAAAGCTAAGCTAAAGCTAAGCTAAAGCTAAGCGAAAGCTAAGTTAAAACGAAGCTAAAACTAAGCGAAAACTAAGATAAAACTAAGCTAACGCTGAGAACCGCTAAGCTAAAGCTAAGCTAACACTAAGCCACAGCTAAGCTAAAGGTAAGCTAAAGCTAAGCTAAAGCTAAGCTAAGGCTAGGCTACAGCTAAGTTACAGCTAAGCTAAAGCTAAGCTAAAACTAAGCTAAAGTTAAGCTTAAGCTAAAGGTAAAAGTAAAGCTAAAGCTCCCAGGGGACTGGGGGAACCGCGGGGCGGATCCTGGGGGAACCGCCCGGGGCGTGGAGCACTGCCCGGCCCTTTAAGCCAACACGGTAAGAACCCTTCTAGGCAGGGCCTAGGTAGGAAACAGAAATAAGTCTCCTGCTCGAAGCAGGCCGCAGCGGGCTCCAGCCGCAGCGCCGGGCGGAACTCCAGCGGCTGCTTCAGCCTGAGCTCTGCTGTGCCGAGGCCTCGCACCCGGTCTTCGAGGGCGCGCACCTGCTCCTGCGGTGCAGCTGCAGAGGGGGACTGGAGGCCTCCCACGATCAAAAAACCGGGTCCTACGAGAGATGACATAACGGCCATGCGCGGGGGCTTAAGCGGGCCGCCGGCGCGGCTCGCTACATTGGAAACGAGTGCGCTTACGGGCGACCTTACGTGAGGAGCTTGCGCGCGAATGTCGGCGCAATCGACCACGTTTTCATGCGTCGCTCAGATGAGATCCCAGTAGATGGGGTCGTGTCGTGTCGACCCTGGCGTTGCTTCCCGACACCGCAGGGGTCGTTCCACCTCAAACGGTCGGCCGCTTCCGAAACGTTAGATCGTTCAGCATCGACCGATTGTGGGCTGCCGGCGGCGTTCAACATTGAAGGCTGGCGGCGGGGTCGCCACTGGTCGACATGACGCGTACCTACCATAGATAGGGTCGGAGGATCGCGCCGCACCGCCAATGCATCGCCTACGCATCGGCGATGCAACGGCGATGCACCGGCGACGTCGGCGATGCATCGGCGTGTAGTAAATCGGGCTCCACATCAAGCCGCATGGCCGATGCATCGGCGATGCGGCGCGTTCCTCCGACCCTATCTACTCGGACACCGCTTGGGAGGCCTAGAAGAACTGGACTGGCTCAGGGGAGGGGGCACGCCAGCCACCCCTTCCCCCGCGTCGTGAAACAAAATCGAGACGACCAGATTTTGACAAATGTTGGCCTCTGAGACCCCTCGCTGGGCCAGGACCGCCAAAAAACTTAGCAAATCCCCTCTGAGCGGATCCCCGCCCAAGGATCCTCGTCGTCCGGCTTTCGGGTCATCACATGGGTCTCTGGCGGCCGTTCAAGACGATTCAAGGACCCCCGGAACTGTCTCGACGAGGCGCAAGTGATGGAAACCACCCCAAGGCCAGAAGACCGACGAGAACACTCGAAAACGCCCTAAAACCTCGGACCCAACGTGGCCCCTGAGCTCCTCCAGCGCCCTCAAGCGGCCCACCCCGGTGGCGGCGTAGTCCGCCGCCCCGGCAGGGTCGCGGCTGGACGCGGCTGGGGGCTCCTGAGCATTGCTTCACCGATCCCTATCCCAAGTGGCATGGCGTTGGGCCCACTGGTCGACTGACCCCTCTAGATGGTGATGTATGCTGTTCCTGTCGAATTCCGCGGGACCTACACAGAGATCTGATATCTTGATTTTTTCGCTACGGGATCCCAGAAATCCCGACCGACTTCCAGGGACCGGCTTTTCGTCCCGAGTCGTTTCTTTGGACGGCCTGGGGGCCGGGCCCGGCGAGGGCCTCGAGAGGCCGAAAAAGGCGAACAGAACCTCCTTCTTGATTTCAGCCCATACGTTCTGTTGCTCCCATCTCACTTAAGGGCCACATCCCAGAACAAATAATTTCGATCACCCAGAAAAGTGTCGAAACAGTGGCGAAGCAGTGTCGCCTCCCAGGGCCCGACACTAACGAACCCAAGTTTCGTCACGCTCTTGGTGATCAAAATTATTTTTGCTGATCGAGGCTAAAGTAGGTTGGAACATCATGGATCATCTATGGGTGGGCTGGCGGGGCTGAGCACGGGGATGGGGATCGGCGCAGCGGTGCCAGGCTCCAGCACGAGCTCCACCCGCTGGTGCCCGAGCACGTGCCGCAGGCTGCGCTGCTGCGCCTCCGTGAGCTCTGGCGGCGTCTGGGGCGGCTCCCCTGCGGAGGTGCCTGGGGACGCCGGCTCCTCGGAGGAGGAATAGAAGAAGAAGAAGAAGAAGTACCCAGAGATCCAACGCAGTGAAATAATCAAGAAGAAGAGACTAATAAGAAGTAGAGGAAGAAGAAGAAGAAGAAGGAGAAGTAATTATCCAGAGATCCAACGCAGTGAAAAAAATCAAGCAGATGTTTTGTTCTATACCTTCGGCCTCCAGAGGCCCTCGGCAGGCCCCGGGGCCGTCAAGAAACGACTCGGGCTGAAAAGCTGGTCCGTAGGAGTGGGTCGGGACTTCAAAAAACAAGACATCAGACATGCGGGCATTCGACGCGGAGACCCCATTTCCTCAGAAGAAGATCAGAACCCTGAGATCCCCGCGTCCATTTTTCCGAGCCAGGCATTTTCGCCCGATTTCGCGACCTGGGACGCTCAGAGATTGATCCGGCTCGAAAGAACACCAAACATCTGGGCCCGGTGCTTCAGTCGTGACTTCTCACGTTGTCTCTCGGGATCTCATGGCAGAGAAATTACTCGATGCAGGGATCCCCATGCCATGTGCATGTCAATTCATGGCACGTCCTGGGGTGAGTGTCTGGCCGCGAATATCCGGCTGTGAGAGCGAATCCGCGTGGACAACGTGTACGACGATGACGACGACGATGACGACGACGACGACGGCGACAACGATAACGACGGCGACAACGATGACGACGACGACGGCGGTGGCGGCGGCAACTACAATAAGGGCCAGTGACAACGGCAACTCACAGAAATACAGGCGGTGATAAGTTCCTCTCCTTCCTCTTGCTGCTCGCCGTACATATCCCGGAAGATAACACAATGATAAGAGACAGGCACATACGGTCAGGAACGTTTGCATTGTGTGGCGTGTTGCGGCGGGGACTCTGCGACACGCTGTGCCTGCGTGTCGCTCGGGACCGGGCCATGGATAGGGTATCGCGCCGAAGTGGGGTGGGCCAACACTGGCAGCACGATACCCCTTGATCCAGCGCGTTGGCAACAACAGCGCAGCGGAATGTGTTCACCGTTTTCGGCCCTTCTAGGGGCAGTCGCCGGGCCTGGGGGGCCGTCAAAAAAACAACACTCAGGAGGAAAAGCCGGTCCCTGAGTGGGTCGAGACTTCTGGGGACCACGTATTCCAACAACTAAAACATCGACTCTCAGAGTACACACTGAGGTACGGGGGCTGCAATTTGTAACACCTGAAATGTTTGCTCGCTTTCGGGCCCCAGCAACATCACAGGTCGTTCCGGCTCATGGTGCAAAAAACGGAAATTGTTGTCTTAAGCTCCAGTCGGAAGATTGTCCGAAGTGGTTTCCTTTTCCCTCAACGTCGGATCTCATGGATACCGCTACCCTTGCCTCGGTGTCGCCTTACTCCTGCCTCCTGGGAGACCCTCGTCGCCACGGCCGGCTTCGCCTCGACATTGGCCAGACGGCGGCCCAGGAGAAGTCAAGGGCATGGCGGTGTATCGGCATCCTTTGTCTTCCTCAGGGGTGCTCAAGGGCTGCAGGACGGCCATGGCCCTCATCGAGGGGCACGCCGAGGTGCCCCCTGGCGAAGATGGGCAGGCGGCCGATGGAGGTCGCAGTGGGGCATGCTGCCACGCACTCCTCGTCGGGGCAGCTCCCCTGGCGACTGTTTCTGGATGGGCTGGTGGGGATTGGTAAAGCTTCGGGCTGTGCACGGGCAGCCCCCCCCATGTTGACCTCAAGTCTGGCATGTCCTCCTAGAGGCGGGCTTGTTCATACTCAAAACATGTTCATACGAAATGCAAAATGCGAAAAAAAACTCGTCCCAAAACTCTTGCTCGACTACTTTTGAATATTACCTAATAGCGAACACTCATAAGTTTCTAATAGGGTCAAAAGAGAACATCATGACGCCCCAGGGGGGTCTGGGCGCGATCCGGGGGAGGGTGCCGGGAATTGTTTTAGCCAGCAGTTAAACACTTCGTGGTCTTCAAAGTCCCAGAACTCCATTCCCGGGCCACATTCTGAATGCCCGGAGCCAACTCTAAGCCACTTCTTGGTCTTCGAGTTCCCAGAACTCCACTCCCGGGCCACATTTTGAATGCCCGGAGCCAACTGTAAGCCACTTCGTGCTCTTCGAGTTCCCATAACTCCATTCCTGGGCCACATTTTGAATGCCCGGAACCAACTGTAGGCTACTTCGTGGTCTTCGAGTGCCCAGAACTCCATTCCCGGGCCGCATTTTGAATGCCCGGAGCCAACTGTAGGCCACTTCGTCGTCGAGTTCCCCCACTTCGTCGTCTTCGAGCTCCCCAAACTCATTCCCGGGCAACATTTAAAATGCTGAGGCAGGCTGATGCTGAGGCTGAGGCAGCCTGAGGCCGAGACAGGCTGAGGCTGAGGCCGAGGCTGAAGGCAGACTGAAGCTGAAGCTGAAGCAGGCTGAGGCTGAGGCTGAGGCTGATGCAGGCTGAGGCTGAGGCAGGCTGAGGCTGAGGCTGGGGCTGAGGCAGGCTCAGGCTGAGGCACGCTGAGGCTGAGGCCGAGGCTGCAAACAGACTGAACCACAGGCTGAAGCAGGCTGAAGCAGGCTGAGGCTGAGGCTGAGGTAGGCTGAGGCTGAGGCTGAGGCTGAGGCTGAGGCAGGCTGATGCTGAGGCAGGCTGAGGCTGAGGCTGAGGCAGGCTGAGGCTGAGGCTGAGGCAGGCTGAGGCTGAGGCCGAGGCCGACGGCAGACTGAGGTTGAGGCTGAAGCAGGCTGAGGCTGAGGCTGAAGCAGGCTGAGGCTGAGGCTGAGGCAGGCTGATGCTGAGGCAGGCTGAGGCTGAGGCTGAGGCTGAGGCAGGGTGAGGCCGAGGGGGCTGAGGCTGAGGCTGAGGCTGGGGCAGGCTGATGCTGAGGCAGGCTGAGGCTGAGGCTGAGGCTGATGCAGGCTGAGGCTGAAACCGAGGCCGACGGCAGACTGAGGCTGAGGCTGAAGCAGGCTGAGGCTGAGGCTGAGGCAGGCTGTAGCTGGGGCTGAGGCAGGCTGATGATGAGGCAAGCTGAGGCTTAACTAGGCTGAGGCAGGCTGAGGCTGAGGCAGGCTGAGGCTGAGGCCGAGGCTGAAGGCAGACTGATGTTGAAGCTGAAGCAGGCTGAGGCTGAGGCAGGCTGAGGCTGAGACTGGGGCAGGCCGAGGCCGAGGCTGTGACTGCGACTGCCGTTGCCACTGCGACTGCCATCGCGAATGCGACTACGACTGCGAGAAGAGCAGAATTCTACAACCGGATTCTCATCTGAATTTTAAGGGGCATGCTTCCAGATATGCTCCTACACATCGCTGCTCGGTTGCTTTACCAGGAAAATTCCTCTTGTAGAGGGGCACGCCCGACTTAACCCTGGACTACGCGGGGGGCGGTTGATCAGGCCAGCTGGGACTACCCTGGGAGGGCAATATGTGCGCAGCCCGAAACCGCACTGAATGCGGATATTTTTAGTGCGCGGGCGCGCGAAGACGAGTCGAACGCCGCGCGAGCTACGGCGGGCCGCCACGAAGCAAAACAAAAAACTGCGAAACGAGCGGCGCCCGCCTCAGAGCGGAACTGGGCCCAACGCAGCCAAAATGGCGCGGGAGGCACCACGAATCGCATCATAATCAAGTCGAGCAAAACTGCGGAACAAGTCGACGCAGGGCGTGCTCGCTGAGGTGCCCATGAGTGACGCAGGTGCGGTGTGGGAGAGCGACCACGTACATGAGCGACCATCATACTGGCGTTCATTAACATACTCTCCAGGTAAGCTCGTCGAACTCGAAGTCCATGAACCCCTGCGCCCATGCGAACCAAGAGAAACGCGCAGGCAACGCCGAAGGAGCAGCGTGAACGACGCCGAGAAACCGCATTCGGCAACGCGAGGAAGACGCGCCAAGCGAACGCCGACGAGACAAACGGCCCCCAGGTCCCGAGGTAGTGGAACACGCATCGGGCAGCGACGGCGCGGCGAAGAGCTGCTGCGCGAGGAGGCAGCTGCAGCGCGACCGGGGGCAGCCCGCGCTGGGCTGCCCGCGGGGCGGCTGCGCGCTGCGAGACAGGTCCAGGAGGGGCGGCCCCGCCGAGTGCTGATGCAACGGCGGGGCGGTGCCAGCCGGGCCAGGAACTGACCCTCCAGGGCCCCCTGGCTGAAACGGTAGGCCCAGGAACGCTCCTTCCCTTGGTTTCGCTGCCGCCCTGGAACGCGGCTGCCAGCCAGGACCAAGGGCGCCTGGTTCCGCGGCGGGGCGTCGCCTTCCTTGCCCGTGCCATCGCCGCGCCGCGGGCACTGCTCGCGCAGCTGTTTCCAATCGGCCCCGAGGTGCGGCGCGTCGCCCATGGGCCCTTGGACCGCGCGCGCCCTTTGCGGTGGCGGAAACAATCCAAGAGACTGACGCGCGTTTGCGTGTCGCGCAGGAGCGGGTCGGGCGCTGCTCCGGGGCCGGGCGAAGCGTGCCCCTGGAGGAACGCGTGCGGGGAGCCCGCGAACATCGCCCCCAAAGCGACTTGGAGCCGCTTGGTATTTTTGCCCGGGGGGGGCCCGTAAACGCCTCACTGCGCGCCTTCGATGCTGATTTTGTACAACTGTTTTCCCGCTTCGGGGCCCAGGGGTTCAGGCCGCCGGCGGGCGGCGCGCCGCCCGCCCCCGTCGGGCGCGGCGGCTCGCCTTTTTCCAGGCGCCGCTGCTGCTGCTGCAGCCGCGCTCGCCGCCTGCCGTCTGCCGCCTGTCAGACCCCGCTTGGCCAATGACTTTGCCGGGCACCAGCTTCCGCCCCGCGGGCGGGGGCTGGGGGGCCGCCGGTTCTCGGGCCAGGCGCGGTGGCCAGTGGCGTCCAAGCAGACGCGCCGCCGGTGCACGCTGGCCGCAGCGCCGTCGCTCCTCGGCGCTGGGACTCGCACCTTTGCAGGGGGGTGGCGCCAGGATAGGACGCGTCCGCCCGCGCGTCGCTGCCGCGGGCTGGAGGGCCAGTTGAGGCAAAGCGCGGGCGGGCGGGGTGTTCGCTTGCTCCTGCTCGTCTGGCGCCCCCCGCTGCTGCTCCAACGCCTGCTCTGTCCCCATGTCGTCGGCGTCGGCGTCGGCGTCGCCGGCGTCGTCGTCGTCGTCGTCGTCGTCGGCGTCGGCGTCGTCGTCGGCGTCACGGTTGGCGGGGCTCTGGCACAGGGGCCGGGCGCGTCGTCACTGTCGAGGCGCCGCCCGCGCGCCCCCCACTGCGCGGCGCCGTCCTCCTCCCCCGCCGCCGCCTCCACCTCGGCCACGCGGGCGGCGGCGGTGCTGGACAGGGCGCCGGGCGGCGTCCCAGGCGCGTCCGCCGGCCCGCCCTGCCGCGCGCCCGCGCTGTCGGGCACCTCGTCTCCTCCTAAACCAGGGGGGCCGCGGGGCGCGGCGCCCTTCGGGTTGGGGCGCAAAGCGCCTGGGCAGCCTCGCTCGATCCTGCTCGCAAGCGCGACTGGTGGAATCACCTTCGCCAGGACTTTCGCGCGAGGCAGCGGGCGCGTTAGCAAAGTCTGCGCTAGGTCCGCCCCCAGAAACTTCACCTTCGGACTGGCCAGGCTCGCGCCGGGGGGCCGCGCTCGCGCCGGGGCAACTGGCGACGGCTGACGGCGCAGAGGGGCCTTGCTCGCTCCAGGACAACGGCTGCACGGCGCCGCCCTCCCCCACCTCCTACGCGCGGGGGGCCGTCATCTCCAGGTAGGCAACTGCTCGCCGCGAAAGTCCACTGCGCAACGGAAGGGGGGGAGAGGGGGGCGTCGTCTCCAGGTTGGCGATTGATCGTCGCGAAAGTCGTCCGAGAGAGGGGGGGGCGTTCTGGGGGAGCAACGTCTCCAGGTGGGCGACTGATCGTCGCAGGTGTCTTGCGTGAGTCGTCCCCAGTCAGGCGACTGATCGTCGCGCATGTACCCTGTGAGACGGGGAAGAAGGAGGGGGGCTTCATCTCCAGGTGGGCGACTGATCGTCGCTAACGTTCTTTGCGAATCATCTCCGAATGGGCGGCTGACCATCTCGAGATGCGGGAGGTCCGTGCCAGGCTCGCCCGCTGAACTTCCACGGTCGGACTGCCAAGGCGCGCGCAGGGGGGGCGTGCGCGCCCTTGTTGTCGCCGCCCCCGGGATCCCGCTCAAGCTACCTCAGCTCCAGCTCCCGCTCAGGCCCAGGTACGGTCGGGGAGCAGCGGGCCGCGGCGGCCGCCACCGCAGCGGCGGCAGCGCCGGCGGCCGAGGCAGCGGCGGCGGCGGCGGCAGCAACGCGCGCGCTCGCGGGCCCCAGCACGGCAGCCCGAGACACGGCGGCCGCGGCGGAGGCAGCGCCTGCGGCGGCAGCGGCAGCTGCCGCGCTGGCGGGCAGGCCCAGAGGCGCCGCGGCGGCGCCGGCGGCGCCAGCGGCCCACGCGGCGCCAGCAGCGCCGGCGGCGCCCGCGGCAGCCGCGCCAGCGGCGCCAGCACCGGCGGCGCCGGCCACGCCAGGAGCGACCGTGGGGCGGGCGGCGGCGGCGGCGGCAGCAGCGCGCGCGGTCGCGGGCCCCAGCGCGGCAGCCCGAGACACGACGGCCGCGGCGCCAGCCGCGCAGCCGGCGGCAGCGGCGGAGGCAGCGCCTGCGGCGGCCGCGGCAGTCGCCGCGCTGGCGGGCAGGCCCGGAGGCGCCGCGGCGGCGCCGGCGGAGGCTACGGAAACTGAATGCGGATACGCGAAAGCGTCAAAAACTTAGATCAAAACACACCCCGGCAAAAGTCTGGGGAGCAGCGGTACACCCTGAGATCCGACGGTGCGAAGTATTGAACCGTCATTTAAAAATCACTGCCGGGGTTCTGGACCCCATCTCTCTGCGGCACGATTGTTTCTAAGCGATCGATGCGTCAGGGCCCCAGGGCCCGAAGTTTGCCAAAAACGCCCGCTGTGTAAAGAAATGCAATTCCAGGATCTCCGGGGTATGTCGGCATCTTTTCGTTCCCCCGAGCTCCTGGACTCCGAGGGTGGCCGTCGGGGACAGGTGGCCAGGCCTCGTGGGAAGCAGAAGGACGTACTAGCACGAGGGGCCCCTGCTGGAGACGCACGTCCGACCCAAACATGAAAAATTAAACCTTGTAGCACGTCGTTTAGAGGGCAACAACATCCACCCCCATAATAACCACCCCGACAAGCGAGGCCGTTTAGTAAACGCACCCTGAGAAGGAATCGAGCAGGGCAAAGCTGTTTAGAAAACGCCCAGGGTCGAGTAGCAAATGCCAATTATCGGGTCCGGGTGGTTGTTGTTGCCTTGATAATCCCACCAGCCCTCTGGGCGTCGGTGGTTTAGAGCCTTTCCTCTTCTTCCCCTCCTTCTTCCCCTTCGGAGAAGGGTTTACCCCTCCCCCTACCCCCTCCCCGCTGACCTGGACAGGGGGGGCCGCGGGTAGTTAGAGCGTCCAAGACGGCCCAACACGGCTCCAAGAGGGCCTCAGGGAGCTCAAGATGACCTCCAAGATGGCTCAAGATAGCGCAAGATGCCTCAAGATGGTCCCCATGATGTTCCAAGACGCTCCAAGAAATCCCCAAGACGGTTCCAAGTGCCCACAAGAGCATCATTAGGATGCATCCAAGAGGCCAAAATGCTTCAAAAACCTTCGGGAAATCAATGTTTTGGGTGTTCTCACTTTTTCGCTTGCGATGCACATCCGACGCGTCAAGATGGCTCCAAGATGGCTCAAGATAGCTCCAAGAGGGGCCCAAGAGAGCCTCAGGATGGCTCCAAGAGCGGCCATGAGCGCTCCAAGAGCGATCCAAGAGGGGTCCAGGAAGCGATTTTTGGAGCTCCTGGGGGGGGCTGCAATTAGGGAACCCCACTTCCTTGGATGCCCAAATCATTGATTTTACTAAGGTTTTGGCCACATGTGGGCCTCCTGGGGGGGGTGGCACTGCTTCAGATGACTCCAAGAGCGCCTGGGAGAGCCCAAGATGACCTCCAAGATGGCTCAAGATATCCCAAGATGCCTCAAAATGTCTCCCACGATGCTCCAAGAGGCCCCAAGACCGCTTCAGGACGGCTCCAAGTGGCCAAAGAGCTCCCCCAGGAGGCCCCGAAGAGGCCAAAATCCTTCCAAAACCTTCGGAAACTCAACATTTTGGGCTTTCTCGCCTTTTCGCTTCCGATGGCCATCCGAGGCTTCAAGATGACTCCAAGATGGCCCAAGAGGGCTCCAAGAGCGCTCTGAAGGCTCCCAAGAGCGCTTCAAGAGGGCCCCACGAGGCGCCCACGAGGCCCCAGGAGGCCCCAACAAGCGCCCCAGAGGCCTCCAAGAGGCCCCCAAGAGACCCCCAAGAGGCCCCAAGAAGCTCTCCAAAGCACCCAAGACGCTCTAAGAGGCGTCCAGGACCGCCAAGAGGCCCCTAAGACGCTCCAACCGGCCTCCACTGGGGTACCCTTCCTTTGTGTGCTGCCCACTTCCCTGATCGAGGCACTTCCTCTGGGCATCGTTTCTGGATGGGCTGGTGGGGTTACGCGAAGCGTCTAGAATTTTCCGAGGGGTATGGCCAGAAAACGCCCCCTATGCAGGATTGAACACGCGCGTCGCCTTTGCTTGGCAAACGCACACATATTTGGGCGCCCGAGTTATCCGGGGTAACTCGGGTCCGGGGTAACTCGGGTTTGGATTCCCGAGAAAGGAACCCGAGTTAGCCCTGACCCGAGTTACCCCCGATGATTCGGGGCTCTGGACGACCGAATTATCCGGGGTAACTCGGGTCCGGGGTAACTCGGGTTTGGATTCCCGAAAAACGAACCTGAGTTATCCCTGACCCGAATTGCCCCTGATGATTCGGGGCTCTGACATATAGTGTAAGCATGTTTGGGTGGAGCCGGCCTCAGAGGAGCACCGCTGGCTGGCGCTCCGAAGGCAAAGGGCCGGCGCAGGTCGCCCCTGGGCGCCGCCCATTGCTGGGTCGGCGTCAGGGCCCGCGCGCCGTTGGGCGTCGCCGCGGGGCTGGGCTTCCTGGAGCCCTGGGTGAACTTCTGGCCGACCTCCGCGAAGAGGAAGCCGATGTTGCCGACCTTGCCCTGCAGCTCCTTGATGGACACCTCCCGCTCGGCCTTCTCGTTGGCGAGGTTGGTGATGAAGGCTTCCCGCAGGTCGCGTATCTGCCGGACGAGCTCCTCGTGGCGCGGAGAGTTGCCGGACGAGCTCCTCTGGACGAAACAAAACTGTATGAACAGATATGCTGTCAAGCTGACTGCCTACCAGACCATCCCAGTCCAACCCGAAGACCCCTATTTCAGGTTGGGGGGGGTACGGGTTCCACATGTGTGTTCTCAATGTTCCCCGACGCCCCCCCTACTGGGAATGGAGGGCAGATTGGGGCCTTCGGGTTGGGTTGGAGTGGTTCGGTGGGCGGTGACGAGCGACCCCCCCTACCCAGGGAGCACTGGCACACATCGGGCCTGCCGGCCGCGGTATGCAATCGTCATCCGTCGAAGGCACGAGGCCAGATACACGGGGAGCACCGGCACACCTTGGGCCTGGCGGCCGCGGTACGCAGAGTGTGCGAGGCGTGTCGGGGGCTCTTTTCTTCAAGTCCAGCAACCCCAGCCTGTCGGATGAGGGGGGAGTAAACCATTCGGATGCCAGCGCGGATTGGATTTCTCGGGTCGGCGCTGGACCGCCCTCCCTGGCGCGCGGGGCGCCCAGGTGCGGCGCCGAAGCTCCGCCAAGGGGGGGGGCAGCGCCGATCCGAGAAATCCGCGCGGCCCTCCGAAAATGCATGCTTATGCCGATGGTTCTTCTCCGGCCACGGCCGAGCAAATGGTGTGACCGGCTAGTGGTGGGGTCTGGAGTATCGTTTCTGCGACGATCCATTTCTGATGCGGGCACTGGCTGCACGGAAGGAAGGCGGAACAGGTGAAACCACTCGATCAGTGAAGTAGGAAGGCGCTTAAAGTAGTTTAGAATCTGGAATCCGAGAATGCCTACTCTCAACGACAGATGGGCAGGTAGATCCACAAACCAACCTCGCCTACAATGTCGCCTCGCACCACGCCGCTGCGGAACGCATCGCTTGCCTGCACAATTGCCGCAGCCCGAACACCCGAGCCCCTCCCAAGAGCCCAAAGTGGCCCCCTCGCGTCAGCGCCTCCACTGCATCTGCTTACACCACGAGCTCTCTTCCTCGGTCCTCGTCACCCGCTCCGTGTGGCCTTCCCTCTGCTTCTGCTGCCTCTCAACCTTGGCGGCGCGCACGGGGGGGCAGGGGGAGGGGGGAAGGCTTCTTGGGAGCGCTCTGCTTCTTAGGAGAGGCCCTGGGCCTTACATCTATAAATGAGGCCAGCGCCTTCTAAGCTGCAGGGGTGCTTCTACGAAGCCTTCCCCCCTCCACCTGCCTCCCCCTGCTTCTGCTGCCTCTCCACCGCCGCGACCGCCCTCTGCACCGCGTCGACGCGGTCCTCCAGCTGCAGCCGCACCCGCTGCTCCAGGTGCGCGGCCTGCGCCTCTCGGGACGCCGCCTCCTTTTTGTGAGAGGGGGAGGAGGAGGAGAAGGGGAGGAGGAGGAGGAGGAGGAGGAGGAGGAGGAGGAGGACGAGGAGGGAGGAGGAGGGGGAGGAGGAGGAGGAGGAGGAGAAGGAGGAGGAGGAGGAGGAGGAGGAGGAGGTAGAGGAGGGGGAGGAGGAGGGAGGAGGAGGAGGAGGAGGGAGGGGAGGAGAGGGAGGGGGAGCAGGAGGAGGGAGGAGGGGAAGAAGGAGGTGGAGGAGGAGGAGGAGGAGGAGCAGGAGGAGGAGGAGGGGGAGGAGAAGGAGGAGGGGGAGGAGGGGGAAGGAGGAGAGGAGGTGGAGGAGGAGGAGGGAGGAGGGGGAGAGTGGGAGGGGCGGGGGGCCAAATCCACGCAGATCTCTTGGATCGGCGCTGGGCAGAGCCCGCCCCGCGCGGCAGGAGGGAGGGAAGGTCCAGCGCCGATCATAGAATGACTACCTACCAGTCCACCCCAACCCAACCCGAAGACCCGAAATTCGGGTTGGGGCGGGTACGTGTTCCATGCGTTTTCCCGACATCCTAAGTGGCGTTCCTGTTTTCTCTGAACGCCCCGCGCAGGAACATAATGGAAGGATCCCCCTTCTCTTCACCGCAGCATCATCACTTACACATTCGCACGCACTCTCACTGTCCAACTCACCCTCTCACTCCCAACTGCCTCCCGTCACTCAGCACCAGCATTATCATCACCACCATCATCATCACCGTCATCATCATCGTCGCCATCATCATCACCATCATCATTATCAACATTACTATCCTCATCATCAGCAGCATCATCATCAGCAGCAGCATCATACTCACAACATCATCGTCACCATAACACCGTCTGTGAGTGAATTGCGAGGACGTCTCAAGAAGCAACCCTCTCAATATGGGGCTCGCCGCTCACGGTTTTTATCCGAGCAGGCCACCCGCCTCACGTAACTGTCCTCACTTTTGGGCCCCTGAAGCATGAATACGAGGACGTATCAGGCGGGAGCATAGTCTGTGAGCGAATTGCGAGGAAGTCACAGGCGGGAGCCCCCTCCCTAGGGGGCCCGCCTCTCATGGTTTGAGTCCGAGCGGGCCATCGGCCTCCTGCGACTGTCTTCCCTTGTGGGCCCCTGAGGCCTTAATGCGGAGGAAGCATCATGCGGGAACCTCGTCTGTGAGTGAACTGCGAGGAAGTCTCAAGAAGCAACCCTCTCCCGATGGGGCCCGCCGCTCATGGTTTCTTATCCGATCGGGTCACCCGCCTCATGTAACTGTCCTCACGCTTGGGCCCCTGAGGCCTGAATACGAGGACGTATCCGGCGGGAGCCTCGTCTGTGGGTGAATTGCGAGGAAATCTGAAGCGGGAGCCCCATTCCTATGGGGCCCGCCTCTCATATTTTGAATCCGAGCGGGTCATCGGCCTCCTGTAACTGTCGTCATTCTTGGGCCCCTGAGGCCTGAATATGGAGGAAGTATTAAACGGGGGCCCCGTGTTTGAGTGAAGTGCGAAGAAATCTCAAGCGGGAGCCCTCTCCCTATGGGGCCCCCCGACCTTTTTGGCAAATCCGAGCGGGTCATCGGGATCCTGTAACTGTCGTCACCTGTGGGCCCCTGAGGCTTGAATATGGAGGAATTGTCAGACGGAACGCTCGTTTGGGCGTGAATGGCGAAGAACTCTGAGGCGGGACCCCGATCTTTATGGGGCCCGCATTTCACATTGGTGATCCGAGCGCGTCATCGGGATCCTGCTGTAACTGTCACCAGTTTTGGGCCCCGGAGGCTTGAATGTGAAGAAATATCAAGCGGGAGCCTCGGGTGTGAGTGAATTGCGAGGAAGTCTGAAGCGGGAGCCCCATTCCTATGGGGCCCGCCGCTCATGTTTTGAATCCGACCGGGCCCTCGGCCTCCTGTAACTGTCGTCACTATTGGGCCCCTGAGGCTTGAATATGGAGGAAGCATCAGGCGGAAGCCTCGTCTGTGAGTGAATTGCGAGGAAGTGTAAGGCGGGACCCCCCTCCCATTGGGGCACGTGAATAATCCGAACGGGTCGTCCTCAAACCTGAAACTGATTTCATTCTTGGCTTCCTCGGGCGTGAAGCTTGTGGGAGTATCGGGGCGGAGTCTTGTTTGGGAGTGAATGGCGAGGAAGTCTCAGGCGGGAGCCCGATCCCTATGGGGCCCGCGATTCATATTTGTAATCGAGCGGGTCATCGTCAACCTTTCAACTGTCGGCATTTTCGGGCCCTTGAGGTCTGAATTTTAGGGAATTATGAGGCGGAAACTTCTTCTGTGAGTGCGTCGCGCCAGCGGCTTGCAGGATTGTCCCGACGGCCTGGCCTGCGGGGCTGTCCCCGACGGCTGCGCGATATCACCGTCGGAAACGCGCCCCTACCAGGCGTGGCGGCAAAGGCGCCGAGGAAAATCTACGCGCGCGCCCCTGGCAGGAGGAAGGAGAGGTGCAGGAGGAGAACGAGCAGGGCGGCGATGAGAGGGGGGAGAAGGAGGAGGTGGAGGAGGGCAAGGCAAAAGGCCGAGGAAGAGGAGGAACATGAGGAGAGGGAGGACGCGGAGGAGGCGGAAGAGGAGAAGGCGGAAGAGGAAGAGGATGAGAAATGCAACGAGTAGGACGAGACGGAACAGGAGGAGGAGGAGAAGGAGAAGGACTGCGAGGGCGGAAGGAGGCCTCCGCCAGACGAAGAAGATAAAGGCGAGCTGCAAGCTACATCGATTATCATGTGGGGTCCTACCGTCGGAATAATGAACTGGAAATGGAAGGCAAATTGGGGCCTTCGAGTTGGGTTGGGGTGGTTTGGTGGGTGGTGGTCGAAACCCGTACGGGCATCCGAAACGTCAGTCTCCGCGGCGGCGCCTGCAGCGCAGCTCCTGGCGCGCTGTGCGTGTCAGGGAGGGGAGGGGGGGTCCAGCGCCCATCCACGACATCCGCGCGGAGCTCCGGAATTGTATGCATATGCCGTTTTTTCTTCGATCCTTCTCCAGCTGGCCCTGGAAGTCCGCGAGCAGCGCCTCGCTCATCAGCCGCGAGTTCTCCGCCTCAAAGGGGGAAGAGCCACCGATACCGCAAATTACCCATCCATCGTCGCCCGATGCCACTACTCGGCGTTTTCGCCCGGTCTTTGGACCCAGGACCATCACAGATCGATCTGGCTCGAAAGACGCAGCAGAAAGATTGGGCCTCGGCTCTGGTCGTGATGGTTCGTCATGTTGCAGTTTGTTTCGCAACGTGGGATCTCAGGGAACACCAGCACCGCGGCTCATCCTGGAGACTTCTCGTCGCCACAGCTGGATTCGCAGCGAGCATCGAAATCCCAGCCAGAGAACACCTCCGGAAAGGGCCGTGGAGTAGCGATATCGGTATCTCTTTACTCCCTCACCGCCTGCTTGGCCAGCAGCGCCTGCGTCTGCGCCCGGGACGCGGCAAGAGCCTTCTGAAGCTCCTCCTCGCGGGCGGCCCCCTCCAGACCCACCTCCACGAGGCGGCTGTCGACCACGCTCTTGCTCAACGCCTGCTCTGCAGAGAGCTTGTCGATGGCCCGCTGGAGATCCCTTAGCTTGGGCAGCACCTCTGATGGGCAAACTTTCCACCACCACCACCATATGTAGGACGAGGGAGAAGGGAGGATGAGGAGGTCCTCCTCCTTCCTCCTCCTCCTTCCTCCTCCTAATCCTCCTCTTCCTCCTCCTCGGTGGAAGTACGCGCCGACGACCTCGTGGGCCTCCTCGAGCCTCGACCGCAGAGGCGCCAGCTCCTGCGCCAGCGCCTCGCACTGCCTGCGCGCCTCGCCAGCCTCCGCCCGGCACTGCTCGCACGCCTGCTCGAAGCGCGCCTTTTGGCAGGACACTGGCCCTCCCCCTCCTTCCCCTCCTCCTCCCCCTCCTCCCCCTCCTCCTCCCCGTCCTCCTCCCCCTCCTCCTCCCCCTCCTCCTCCTCCGTCTATTCCTCATTCATCCTCTGGCCTGCGAACAGGAAGTAGGAAGGCGTTGCACGTAGATGGGGTGTCCGCCCACCCCCCTGAGGAGGACGGAGAAGGTGAAACCACTCGATCATTTTGAAGCGGGAAGGCGCTCAGAGCAGATTGGAATCTGGGACACCCACAAATACCTACTGTCAACGACCGATGGGTACGCCTGCACCGATCCCAGGCCGAGCCCGTCCTGGGACGGGCCCAGAGTCCGTGTGCAATCCACCCGTTTTTCCATACGGATGCGCGGCAAGGATGCAGAGGGTCTCGGAGGCCCATGCCGAGCGTTTCTCGAAGGAGGTCGGCCAGCGAAGGTCGACCCGGGGCGGATGCACAGGACGAGGAGACCGAGGAGGAGGAGGAGGAGGAGACCGAGGAGGAGGAGGAAGAAAAGGAGGAGGAGAAGAAGGAGGAGGAGGAGGAGGAGGACGAGACGGAGGAGGAGGAGGAGGAGGAGGAGGAGGAGGAGGAGGAGGAGGAAGAGGGTCACAGATGGAGGAGGAAGAGGGTCACAGATGGCACTACGGGGTCTGGGGAGGCGTGGGCCTCGACGAGGCCTCCGTCGGCCTCCCGATGGGCCGAAGGGGCAAGGGTGCAAGGGTACCCTTGGGAAGGTTGCCCATCCTCCCTGTGCGGGCCGACCGTATTTCTCCTCCTGGCCTGGCCAGGAGGGCGTATACGCCAATCGTGGGCCCGGGATGGGTCTGGCCAGGATCGGTGCGGGCCTATAGTTGGCGGCCTCTGAGCCTTGTCCTGCGACAGGGCGTCCCTCAAGGAGCCCAGCGTCCGCAGCGTCTCCTGGTACGTGGACTCGCGGAGCCGGCTGTCCCTGGTTGGGGAAGGATGACGTACTATTGGCGGCGAGCGCAGCGGGGAAGTGAGGAGGGGCTGGCCTTCTAAGGAGGCTCGGAAGTCCACCAGCCTGCAGAGAAGTGTTCTAAGCCTTCCCCGAAGACACAGAAAATTTCTCAGAAGTCGCGAGGGCTTCTGAGAAGTCCCGCCACCTTCTGAGAAGGCCTTCTCCTTCTCATTTCCCCCTCTCGCTCGCCGCCGATACTAGTACCACGGTGAGGGCACTGGATAAGGATCCACTGTGCAAGGAATTCAGGGTCTGGAAGCGGGTGGAGCACCAACTGAGGCGTGGCCCAGGATGTCACCGCCGCCCTCATCAGATAAGGAACCGTCCAAAGTCCGGAGCCTCCATGGTATACAGTCAACCCGTTTAGTAAGGATGCGCGATAAGGATACAAGGGCCTTGGACGCCCATTTCCAAGCTTTGCGAGCGGGGTGCGGCCGACGAAAGTGGCGAAGGATGGACCGAGGAGGAGGCAAGGATGCAAAGGGTACCCGTGGGAAGGCTGTCCATCCTCACCATGCGGGTCGACTGCACTCCTCAACGAAAGCCCCCACCATGTGCGCTCTCCTCGGAGGCGCACGCACGCATCGAACACGCAGAGTACAACAACACGTTACAGTACAGTGGAGGCCCGACCACAAGAAACCTTCCGCAAGAAACCCAACCCTGAGACCCCAGGACGGCCGTGGAATTTGGTGTGGGAAGGTCACGCGTTCCATCGCAACACCCTCGAGACTCAAGAAAAAACGAGGGCACCCTGGAGGCAAGGAGGGTGTTTCTTGGCATGGGCCTCCACTGTATGCTGTTGTTTCTTCCTGGGGACAGGGCAGGGGAGGAGAAGGAGGAGGAGGAGGAGGAGGAGGAGTAGGAGGTTGAGGAGGAAGAGGAGAAGGAGGAAGAGGAGGAGGAGGGTGTTTCTTGGCATGGGCCTCCACTGCAGACCGTCGCCCGAGCAGGAATTGGCCAGAGAAGGCGCCCCCGAACCGAGCGTATAGTACGATATCAGACTTCTGCGAAAGCGTGCGCGCGTCGCCCCATGCGGGGCCGAGGCGCACACGGCCCAGGTATGTGTAGCTTTAGGTCGGGCCTGTCCTCCTGCAGGCGGATTTTGGACGAAAATCAAACATTAGCCTGGCGAAGGACCCAACCATATGCAGTTGTGAATGCCGCAATTGTGCTGGATGGTGGCGGACGCATGCGGGCGGTGCCACTGGGACCTTCGGTGGAGCTCCCTATGGGGCCACGAAACGCTGTACTGGGTGGGTGAGACGCGGTCAGCAAGGGCTGTGCTGCGTGGTGGCGGACGCATGCGAGCGGTGCCACTGGGACCTTCGGTGGAGCTCCCTATGGGGCCACGAAACGCTGTACTGGGTGGGTGAAACGCAGGCAGGGAGCAAGGGCTGTGCAGGGTGGTGGCGGACGCATGCGGGCGGTGCCGCTGGGACCTTTGGTGGAGCTCCCTATAGGGCTACGAAGCGCTGTTCTGGGTGGGTGAAGCGCAGGGAACAAGGGCTGTGCTGGGTGGTGGCGGACGCAAGCGGGCAGTGCCACTGGGACCTTTGGTGGAGCCCCCTATGGGGCCACGAAACGTGCGAGGGGTGTGCCAGAATGGGGTGTGGAACCGCATGCCAGCGCAGCCACTGGGGCCTTCGGTGGAGCTCCCTATGGAGCCACGAAACGTGTGAGGGGTGTGCCGAAATGGGGGGTGGAACCGCATGCGAGCGCAGCCACTGCGGCGTTCGGTGGAGCTCCCTATGGGGCCACGAGGCGTGTGAAGGGCGTGCCGAAAAAGGGGGTGGAACCGCATGCGAGCGCAGCCACTGGGGCCTTCGGTGGAGCTCTCTATGGGGCCACGAACCGTGTGAGGGGTGTGCCGAAATGGGGGGGGAACCACATGCGAGCGCAGCCACTGGGGCGTTCGGTGGAGCTCCCCATGGAGCCACCCACGAAGCGTGTGAGGGGTGTGCCGAAATGGGGGGGTGGAACCGCATGCGGGCGCAGCCACTGGGGCCTTCGGTGGAGCTCCCTATGGGGCCACGAAACGTGTGAGGGGTGTGCCAGAATGGGGGGTGGAACCGCATGCGGGCGCAGCCACTGGGGCCTTCGGTGGAGCTCCCTATGGGGCCACGAAACGTGTGAGGGGTGTGCCAGAATGGGGGGTGGAACCGCATGCGGGCGCAGCCACTGGGGCCTTCGGTGGAGCTCCCTATGGGGCCACGAAACGTGTGAGGGGTGTGCCAGAATGGGGGGTGGAACCGCATGCGGGCGCAGCCACTGGGGCCTTCGGTGGAGCTCCCTATGGGGCCACGAAACGTGTGAGGGGTGTGCCAGAATGGGGGGTGGAACCGCATGCGGGCGCAGCCACTGGGGCCTTCGGTGGAGCTCCCTATGGGGCCACGAAACGTGTGAGGGGTGTGCCAGAATGGGGGGTGGAACCGCATGCGGGCGCAGCCACTGGGGCCTTCGGTGGAGCTCCCTATGGGGCCACGAAACGTGTGAGGGGTGTGCCAGAATGGGGGGTGGAACCGCATGCGGGCGCAGCCACTGGGGCCTTCGGTGGAGCTCCCTATGGGGCCACGAAACGTGTGAGGTGTGTGCCAGAATGGGGGGTGGAACCGCATGCGGGCGCAGCCACTGGGGCCTTTGGTGGAGCTCCCTATGGGGCCACGAAACGTGTGAGGGGTGTGCCAGAATGGGTGTGGGAGGGGGAGGAGGGGGGAGGAGGGAGGGGGGAAGGAGGCGGGAACGCGGGGCACCGTCTCTTCAAAACGAGGACCCAACACCACAGGATGGTTGGGAATAATTCCAAAACTAAAAACACAAACTCTCAAACATACTATTTCCTTGACTATGCTTGACTATATTCCTCCAGTAGGGGGACATGCCCGACGTAAGTTTCGCTGGCGCCCACCTGAGCTGCCTCTCGTGCTCCCGCAGCTGGCTGGCCACCGCCTTGAGGAGCAACGATGGGTGGGGAGACTGGCTCAGGAGGAGGTGGGGGAAACATCGACCAGGAATCAACAATGCATCGCCGACAGATCGTCCAATTGAGCCCCCGATGGCGGATCCAAACCTTCCTGGGCGGGGTGTGGCTATCAGGCCTTTCGTCGGCGCGCAATGGGCGATGTAGGGTCGATACATCCCCTCTGAGCCTACAGTCGGCCCCCATCATGAGGATGCGCGGTGAGGATGCAAGGGCCTTGGACGCCCATGTCGAAGCTTTGCGAGCGGGGCGCGGCCCGCGAAAGCGGTCAAAGATGGACCGAGGAGGCAAGGATGCAAGGGGGTACCCTTGGGGGGAAGGTTGCACACCCTTACCGTGCGGGATGACTGTACCCCCCCTGTCGTCGCCCCGGATCGCCTCCTCCTCCAGCTGGCGCTTGCTGGCATCTATGTCGAAGATGCTCCGCAGCTCCTCCAGGGCCGCTGGGAGGGCGCCGACCTCCGCGCGCAGGGCCTCCACTGCCCGGCCCTGCGCCTCGGCGTCCCACCGGTGCGCCTCGATGGTCTCTGCCAGGACGTCCACCTTGGCCGAGAGGCTGGGGCTCCCCGCGGCCTCGTGGGCGCTCCCCTGCTGCTGCCGAAGAGGGAAGCGGCGGCACGAAAGGAGGTCGGAGGTCGGAGGGAGGAGGAGAAGGAGGAGGAGGAGGAGGAGGAGGAGGAGGAGGAGGGGGAGGAGGAGCAGGAGGAGGAGGAGGGGGAGGAGGAGCAGGAGGAGGAGGATGTGGAGCAGGAGGAGGAGCAAGGCGCTCTGGCCGAGGAGCCAGGGACGACGTCCGGTCCGGGCCGCGCCCAGGCGTGGTGCCGCCATGGCGGAGGGGATGGCCGCGACCAAAAGCCAGCGACGCATCATGAACGTTCTCACTGGCGACCCGCCAAGACGTACCCGCACACATCGTGGAGACCGACAGCATCGACACAAAGATCGTAACCCACAACTGGCGTGGGACCCAATATATGCGGCGAGATCACGCATTTCCTATGCGGCCTGGAAAGGCCTCGCACTGGACTCAAAGGACGTGGCCATCATACGCTGTAGCAGCGGACCGCCCTCATGCAACAGCGGTCTCGCCGAATAATGCCGATTTCACATACATCGCAACTGGTACCGTGGCGATTGGCATCGGCTCAAATGGCACCGACACCACTGGCATCATCATAGGAAGAGTCAGTGAGACCATTGGCACGGGCACCACGCCGATTTGCAGCACGGACGGCATCGACATGATTGGCATCATCATGGGAGGTATCAGCGAGACTACTGGTATAGTCACGACGACGAGCACCACGGGCAGCACACCTGCGCCGACGGCAGCATCCATCGCGCTCGACCCTACGCCGACGCCAGCACTAACACCGACCCGCAGATGAACCCGAACACCCCCACCTTCACACCACTGCAGCGCCACGACCGCGACAACTCTGGGACCTACGACGCTTATGAGACGCACGACTGCAAGCAGGCAGGCAGGGCTACAGCAGCATCCGCGACACCACGGAAAGCCTCCACGACATCACCAGCTACTGGAGGAACACCATCGGCATCCAAAGGGCGATTTGCTTCGACTATGGCGCCAACGATCCCCACCACTACCTTTGCGCCTACCGTAGCCCACCCGGACATGCGGCCCCAGAGAACCATCCAAAGACGCCATCCAGCAGGCAGTCGCCCGCCGCACGGGGGCCTCGGCAGAAGCATCAACATCCGCAACACCCAATGGCATGCGCGTCTCTGGCATCGGCAACATCGAAAACCACGCTCTCCACGCCACTTTCAGCATCTCCGGCAAGATCCAGACCTGCCGCGTCATCCGGGGCCCAGGAGGTGCACCGCAGGGCCACGTGCAATTCGAAACAAACGAAACGCTGCACAAAAGTCATCTAGTTCTCAAAGGCCAAAGGCATCTACGTAGGCCAGACCGCTGTACAGGCCACCGTGTGGAGGGCCGCCCAACGCGACGACTCTCCCGATGTACTGCCCGACCCCCGAACCGACGCCCAACCCTACGCCCTTCCCGACGCCCTTCCCGACGCCCAGCCCCGCGCCCAACCCGACGCCCAACCAAACTCCCCTCCCGACGCCTTTCCCGGTGCCTTTTTCCCGACGCATTTCCCGACGCCAATCCGACGCCCAACCCGACGCCTTCCCGACGTCCAAACTGACGCCAAGCCCCGCGCCCAACCCGACGCCCCTCTCGAATCCTTTACCGACGCCCTTCCCGACGCCCCACCCGACGCCCCCCCCGACGCCCAACTCGACGCCCCCCCGACGCCTCGCCTGCGAACTCCCATGATTTCAATTTCACTGCCTCCGAGGGCGTCAATCTCGCGGCCTTCAAGGACTCCAATTTCGCGGCAGGGGCGCGCAAATAAACAAATTGTTTGACCCCCATGGACTCCAATTTCGCGCCCTCCAAGGACACCAGTTTCATGCCGAACATCACCTCCAATTTCAAGGCCGCCAAGGACTTCAATTTCGCGGACCGCCTCGCGGATCCAGAGGCTACCTATAAGAACATCGATTTCGAGGGTTTGGGAACGGCTGGAGCCACCCGCGACGACGACGCCGATCACCCCAGCGACGACCCCGACGACGCCCCCTCCGACGCCATCCAGCAGGCAGTCGCCCGCCGCACGGGGGCCTCGGCAGAAGCATCAACATCCGCAACACCCAATGGCATGCGCGTCTCTGGCATCGGCAACATCGAGAACCACGCTCTCCACGCCACTTTCAGCATCTCCGGCAAGATCCAAACCTGCCGCGTCATCCGGGGCCCAGGAGGCGCACCGCAGGGCCACGTGCAATTCGAAACAAACGAAACGCTGCACAAAAGTCATCCAGTTCTCAAAGGCCAAAGGCATCTACGTAGGCCAGACCGTTGTACAGGCCACCGTGTGGAGGGCCGCCCAGCGCGACGACTCTCCCGATGAACTGCCCGACCCCCGAACCGACGCCCAACCCTACGCCCTTCCCGACGCCCTTCCCGACGCCCTTCCTGGCGCCCAGCCCCGCGCCCAACCCGGCGCCCAAACAAACTCCCCTCCAGGCGCCTTTCCCGACGCCTTTTTCCCGATGCCTTTCCCGAGGCCCTTCCCGACGCCCAACCCGACGCCCAACCCGACGTCCAAACTGAAGGCCAGCCCCGCGCCGAACCCGACGCCCTTCCCGACACCCCCCCCCGAATCCTTTACCGACGCCCTTCCCGACGCCCCACCCGACGCCCCTCCCGACGCCCAACCCGACGCCCCGCCTGCGACCAAGGATTTCAATTTCACTGCCTCCAAGGACGTCAATTTCGCGGCCTCTTAGGACTCCAATTTCGCGGCAGGGGCGCGCAAGTACTCCATTTGTTTGACCCCCATGGACTCCAATTTCGCGCCCTCCAAGGACACCAGCTTCACGCCGAAAATCACCTCCACTTTCAAGGCCTCCAAGGACTTCAATTTCGCGGACCACCTCACGGATTCAAAGGCTACCTACCGGAACGTAGATTTCCAAGGTTTTGGAACGGCCGGGGCCACCCGCGACGACGACGCCGACCACCCCAACCCACCGACGCCCCTCACGCCCCCCCTCCCGACTCTCTCTCCGCCGCCACTCCCGACGCACCGCCCGACGCCCCCGCCGACGCCCAACCCGAAGCCCAACCCTACGCCCAACCCAACGCCCAAACCAGCGCCCGAACCGACGCCCGAACCGACGCCAAAACCTACGCCCAACCCGACGCCCTTCCGGACGCCCGAACCGACGCCCAAACCGACCCCCAACCCGACGCCCAAACCGACGCCCAGCCCCGCGCCCTCCCCGACGCCTCCGCCGACGCCCATCCGACGCCCGACTCTACGCCCCTTCCGACGCCCTTCCCGATGCCCTTCCCGACGCCCTTCCCGACGCCCAACCCGACGCCCTCCCCGACGCCCCTCCCGACTCCCAGCCTCACGCCCATCCCGACACCCTTCCCGACGTCCAAACCGACGCCCACCCCGACGCTCTTTCCGACGCCCTTCCTTAAGCCCAGCCCCACGCCCATCCCCACGCACAGCAGGCACCCAACACTCAGCCTTACCGAGCTCACGAGCAGCACCACCACCCACGCCACCAAAACCATTGCCGCCACCAGAACCGTGCGCCAGTCCCAGAGTCCGAGTTCACACCAGAGGGACCTTACCAGCGGGAGCAGACCCAGCGCCAGCGGCGACTCCAGCTGAAGCAGCACCAGCACCAGAGCCGACACCAGCACCAGCACTAGAGCCGACACAGGCGACGCCAGCGCCACACCTCGAACCAAGTACACGACAACCCTGGCTTCCGAGCCTTGCCGCGCTACTGGCGACACCACAACACAACGCACATTCTACGGTGCAACGCCCCTCCGACCTCTAGCGCCCTCTTTCTTCACCGACTGGCGCCGCCCCAGAAGCAACGCAACTCGCCGACGGCGGCACTCGGCCACAACCGCCTCACCCCCCCACGCCCCTCTTCGGCTACGCACCCAAGATGTTGGCGGCGACACTTGTCCGAGGCCTGCGGCCCCCGCCTCCGCCGCGGGCGCATGGCCTGTGGCCACCCTTGCCCGCGTCCCCGAGCAGAGACCTGGCCACTTTCCACCCCTCCCAAAACCCCGACGCCCTTCCCACCCAACTTTACGACCACACCACCCACCCTCCTCAACGGCCACCACCCCTCCCGACGCAGTATGCCTGAAAACGACATCCACAACAGCAGTATCACGGATGGGTCTACGACTGCGTCGACCGGAACGCCAGCGAGCATTTCGCGGCCCTGAGGGGCCGGAGAGGAAGGGATTAGCTTGGGATGCACGGAGGGTGATGGGAGAGAGCTTAGGGAGTGGTTCGGGGAGGACGACCACATGTTTAAAAAATCCCCCCCGAGGCCTGGAGGGGGCCTCGGGGCAGGACGGGCGGCTACAGAATGAACCTTCGCGTGCCACGAGTCGAATCGAGAGCAGGAGAAGGGTGAGGAGGATGGGGGAATATAGAGGAGCCGGGTCCATTTCTGATGGCCCACAACGGCCCGCGAGGGCCGAAATCTAGAGGAGAAGCGCCGGCTGAAAAAAATAGCATCGTCGGAAATATGAACACTGAAGGCGGCGAAGGGGTCTGAGCTGGATGGGCCCAGAGAAAATCAGTCAAGGCGCGATGAAAGTTACAGGCAGATCCGCTCAAAATCGGTCCCCGGCCCCCCTCCCGTCTCCACGCCGCTGAACGTAGCTGCCTCATATCCTCCGCGATCTCCTCCTGGGTAGAATCGCTGCACGCGGGTGCTCTCTCATCTCGCTCATCTGATAATCGTCGCACTCTCTTGCTGCACATCCTCCGTCACGGCCGGCGCGCTTCTTACGCTGTAGCCATTCTTCCGCCGACCCTGGAATACTGCGTCGCCAAAAAATCATATGCCTCCCGCCTCTGTTGCGCTGGCCAACATTCTAGCAAGTTTGTGGACCGTGAACGCGTCGTTCGCTTCAGCCGCTCTCATAAACCCTTCGCATCTCATCTCTGTGATCTCCGCCCAAAATCGTTTCTTCCGATGTGTCAACCATCTGCTCACCATTTTCAGCCGATACGTCAATCTACCGAGGTCTCGTACTGCTCTGAACTGATCAATCGCGAATCCCTGCTCAACCGACTCTCGATATCCGTCATCCCAGAAAAACTCAACCAAGTCCATCGCGCCTTCTGCTCGTACATCTGTGAGAACGCATTGTCTTGACCCACTCGCTGCGTCCGTTTCTGTTGACCAGCACTCTCTGCTTCGCCCACCTGGATATCGAGCTGGACACCCGCGTCGGTTGATACGGCAGCGGAACATTCTCTAAGTTGCCGTCGTTGTTACAGTAATTGTCGCACTTCACTGGCGCGCTGTGCGTCGTCCTCGACATAGCCAACTGCGCCCGCCAAATGAGTTGCGGCCCCGCGTCGTTACGCCTCGTGCACCGCCATATTCGCGAAGTCGGGCACCATACTCCAAGGTAGCGATCGCAGGTGTGGTAGCTTCTCACAAAGTCGCTGCTCGACTATGGCAACAAACTCTGGCCTTCTGTCTCCAAGTTAAAGCATCTTGGCAACAGCCTCTTTGTTGATCGGTATCCGTTCGGGTTTCATGTGCGGTTGGCCCACTATGTCGATGACGATACCCGCACCCACTGGAACATGATCCTGCAAGCCAATATGGCAATGGTTGTGTAGCTGCAGGCCCCACGCCGACTTCGTCAGCGCGCTGCGCCACATCGCAGCTTTGAGCCACTCCCGAGGGGGGGGGCGATGACGTAGTCGAGCGTCTTCGCCACTCCCCTGTTGCAGT